TCGCCTGCAGCCCTAATATACAAGATGATGTACTGGAGTTTAACGCGTTGTTTGAGTTTCATCTAATGGAAAAAAGTCAAGAACCTTTCCAATGATCCTGTTTACAAACCCACAGTGGCAGTTAGTCTTACAGTAGAACAATGTGGGAGGGAGTGAGTCCAGCTCCAGACTGAGGAACACAAAGCAGACGGGTCCCTGTGCTCCGGCCTGCTCCGGTCCGCTGTCCTCCACATTTCACAGGACAATCGCACGTATTTACACTGGGCTGACAGGCCGCTCTGAGGAAGCCTGCTCATTAACTGTACACTGATGGAGTCCATGCGGAGTGAGGCGTTCAAGTGCACCAAGGCCGGCCGGAACTCTGCTCACGCTTGTTTAGAGCAGAGTGTGCAACGCGCCGCTCGCCTTGACTCAGCTCCTGATTAGCAAAAGGAGATTGAACAGAATCACATCAGAAATGTGGAAAGTTACATTTTTATAATTGGACTCTACAGATTCAGGACATTGGTTTTATCACTAATGTAGACATGAAGTGTATGTGGACAAAAAGAAGAAATTAGTCAAACTAAAAGCTGTGTTATGGAATTTAAAGGGACTATATTACGCCAAAAAAACAACAACTATGGTGTAATGTTGCTCCCTCATCAAAAACATACTTGGAGTTGTGTTTTATTTCATTCATGTCAGGCTTAGTTCTTCTCTAAAACAGAAAACTTCACAAAGACGAGTGAGTCTGGAACTGCAGCATGTGTCCCTGGTGTCAGAGGGCGTGACTGACAGGCAGATTAATCAATCAGAGACACATACTCTGCTTCTGTAAAAGCAAACATAAATAAACTCTTATTTATCTCATATAAAGAGTGATACAATTTGTTCTGAATAATGCAAGAGTTTTAGAGAGGAGATGTCTTCTTCTTTTGAGACACACGTGCTCCACATAAGTGGCTGTGGTTGGACAGTTACAGTTAGGAGTTAGTGGTGACAGTAGATCAGTTGGTTGTGTTTGTCCACTGATCCAAAGGCTGCTCTGAATCCCACTCTCAACATAAACATCATTGTTAGAGTGTTGTTAAGTCAGATACACTGATCATAAGGTTGGCGGTGCAATTCCAGCTCAGACAGATGAAGGCCATTGTATCCTCGGGCAAGACACTTAACACACCTCGCCACAGTGTCTGTGTACACTGGTGTGTGTGTGTGTGTGTGTGTGTGTGTGTGAATAGGTGAGTGGTTCCTTGATGTAAAGAGCATTCAGTTCCTTTAAAGTGGAATCACTCTGTATAAAAACATGGTCATACCTCCTTGTCAAAGCCTGATCCCATCAGATCTCAGAAGCCCAGCAAGGCCAGGCCTGGTTAGGAAGTCCAAGCACATGTGTCCTGTGCTCAGGTCTCTGCACTGCCCCCTGTGGCTCAGAGACTTTAAAGCGGCTCTGTTTGAGTACAAGTCTTTCCATGGCCGAGCACCAAAATCCATCTGTGACATGTTAGTGTCTTATGAACCATCTGCACTCTGAGGAGCTCAGGGACCGACCTCCTGCTGGTGCAAAGAGTTTGGACTACACACGAGGGATCAGCATTTCAGAATCATGCAGCTAAAACCTGGAACAGTCTGAACATGTGAGACAGACCTCTGCTGTCTCTCTTTAAACCCAGACTCAAAACAGTTCAGCTGGATATGACTGAAAGATTTTCACTCTCTCATTTAATATCTCCCTCTCTTTTTAACTGTATGATGATTATTTATGTTTTCATTTGTTTGTATTGTGATTTTAATGTATTTCTTATTCTGTACAGCACTTTGAACTACTTTGTGTACAAACTGTGCTACACAAATTAACTTGCCTTGCCTACTTGGATGGGAGACCACTGGGAATTCCAGGTGCCACAGGGGGGCGCCAGTCATTGTGTCCTTAGGCAAGACACATTGCCTAGTATGAAAGTGGCATGTGCGTGAGTGATGGTGGTGGTCAGAGGGGCCGATGTTGCAGATTGGCAGCCTCGCTTCCGTCAGTCTGTCTCAGGGCAGCTGTGGCTACAATAGTATTTTACCACCCCAGAGTGTTGAGTGAATGAATAATGCTCTGTGAAGGGCTTCTTGATGTCTTAAAATGTGCTACATAAATGCAATGATTAATTACTGTAGCATTTAGGATGAAGGTTAGTCACTCTGTGGTTCGATTCCAGCCCCTTGTTTCTGACTTGAACAGAATGTAGAAGGGACTGGCTGCTAAGGAAACTAAAATATTGGACGAAACATTTGTGAATTTTCTATTTAAAGATTTCCCCAGCGTAAAAAAAAAAAAAAAAAAAGAATACAATGAATGTCCCATATGAGTAATTATGAAATGCCAGCAAGTGTGACTTCACCCCATTTAGACACTGCAAACAAAAATAGAGTGACCCGGTCTATTTCCCGGAACACGAGTTATAATCCTGCACCTGGCAACCGCACTGTTGAAATTCTTCCTGGCAACAAATGAAGCCCAGCTAAATACATTTCAAGGCTTTGGTGGCCTATTAAACAAGTGCTAACATTTTTATCAGCTCTCAATATGAAACGAACTCTCAGCGACGGGGAGAGGCCGTGATTAGAACGAGCTCCGCAAATGAAAGTCTAAAACGGAGAAGGCGCGATGGCGGGACGGGGTCGCGGCAGGGCAAGGCCGGGCCACGTGAGGCTGCGGCGCTCGGGGTCCCAGATTAAACTCTGTGTGTCAACGCGGTGGAAAGGAGGACTTTTATTAAAATGTATGCCGCGCTCGGGCCAAGTCTGACAGATGCAGAGTTCCAGGGCTGTGGGGAGCTGCGTGTGAGGCAGGAGGGGAGGGGGTGGTGGTGGTGGTGGAGCGGGGCAGTGACAGGGGCCTGGGGGGGTTAGGGCTATTGAAAGAACGCTGTGTTGTCACCTTGTACAGCTAATGGGGCTTGAAGTGTCAATGATTCTTCTAAAATTGGAGCAGTGGCCAATCCAAGCATAAGACGGGCTTACTCAGACAGTGGCCTATTAGTCGCAGAGTTGACATAGAGACAGACAAAGACATTACAACCAGACTGTTTAATAGAAGCGGACTGAAGCGGGAAGTCGCCCAGAGCATTCGGTTCCAACCAAATGAAGACGATGGCCAAGTTTACATGATGTTTTTTTTAAATTCCGAATTAATTGTTCTGGATTAAAATATTCTCCTTCGAGTTTACATGGAAATAATAATTCCAATTTCACACGGAGGTTCTCACGGAAAACACGTTACGTTTTTATTTAATTCCGCTCAACGTCTGGGGGTGGGGAAGGGTTTTGATTGGACAGAGACGCCAACGTATTTACGTCGACCGGAAGAAAACACACACTTCAGCTGCTATCGTTTTTTTTGTCATCTCGGTTTGTCGTCGCACCACGAACACAAACTCAATCCAAACTTTTGTACAAACGTTCCGATGATAATTGCACAGCAGCTCGGAAATTCTCTTGTCGCGCTTTACGTCTGTCAGGCTGAGGAGGAGAAGGGAAGAGTGTCGGAGAAGGGAGGAAGAAGACAAACTGAGTGTGAGGCTGCTCTACCTCAGCCCACTCCTGCATCCTGCTCACAAATCCAAAGAGACGTGGATGAAAGTCCAAAACCAGGACTGGTGGAGCAGGGTCATTTAGATCGCGTCACAAGGGCGACACAACAACCATGCACGGAACAACTGGTATTATTTTTAAGAAGAATAAATGTTTACATGATTGAGGAATAAATTAATTCAGCTTGAATTTGGAATAAACCACCCACTTACGTTGAAATAAAGTTTCATTTTGAATAATCATTTTCATTAGGAATTAAGTGTTTACATGGTCTTTTTAAAGTGGAATAAATTTTTATTCTGAAGTAAATTATGTTTATTCAAGATTGAAACTCTCATGTAAACGTGGCAACTCAAGGCAGCAAGTTATAGTGGCTAATCTGTAACCGTGGATCATGTTTGGAAGAGTTCATCAGGAGCAAAGGTGTTGAAGTTGATCAAACCTGTTGCAAACGCTGAGGAGGAGAAGGGAAGAGTGTTTGAGAAGGGAGGAAGAAGACAAAGTGAGTGTGAGGCTGCTCTACCTCAGCCCACTCCTGCATCCCGCTCACAAATCCAAAGAGACGTGGATGAAAGTCCGAAGCCAGGACTGGTGGAGCCGGATCGTCCGGATCGCGTCAGAAGGACGACCCAACAAGCATGAGCTGAATGACCGCAATTATTTTTAAGGATAAACATTTACACAATTGATGAATAAATTAATTTGGCTTTAAAATCTGAATAAACCACCCACTTACTTCAGCATTAAATTTAATTTGGAATAATCATTTTCATTCGTGTTAGGATTAGGGTTAGTAAGTGTTGGTAAGTGTTAACATGGTCTTTTTAAAGCGGAATCATGTAAACATGTGGCTCCAAGGCAGGAAGTTATAGTGGCAAATCTGTAACCGGGGACCATGTTTGGGAGAGTTAATCAGGAGCGAGGGTGTTAAAAGTTCATCAAACCTGTTGCGAATGATAGCGGGAGTGACCTCAGGGAAAGATGACACCTGATCGGTCTGTTAATAATGTTCAAAAGTTGATTCACAGACAAAATAGTGAAATGATAATGTAGATCAGGTGAAAACGAACATTTGAAGCCTAACAGCAGCGGGTACAGAGAGAGGGACCACCATCTATGACTGCAACCATTCTCAGATCTCAATAGAAAATCATAAATTGAACATTATAAACCTGACATCTTTACTGCATTTAGGCTGCCACTCCAAGCAAAACTATTTGAACAAACAAGATGTGCAGCAACAGGATCTTGAGCTGACAGACAGTCTGCTGCTGGCTTTCAAATTATTTTTACACCCTGTATAGAGCTTCAGACCTGCAGACTGACGGGCTTTTGCGTACTCCTAATGAACATACCATCTCTGCATAATTCGGAGTCTAGGTTGACTGAGGAACTTGGCCAGAAACAGAAGCACAGTACAGAAGCTGACATGGTCTTACCCACGAGCACCACCAGTCTGTGCTTGGCCCCGGGCTGCCTGTGGTACTGCGTCATCTCCTCGTAGGTGGGCACGTCGGCCGTGTCGTACAGCTCGCTCTTCTTGCACTCGTACATAGACTTGTTGGTCTTCTTGTCTCTCCTGCTCAGACGGAAGCTCCTCCTGAAGCCCGCTGCACACACACACAAGAACGTGTTAGAATCAGGCAGAACGAGAGTCTGAACAAAGCCAGTTACAGAAGTCATTGTGCACTGATATATATTACACTTCTATATGATTACATGTGTTACAATTCACTTCAGAGCCTGATAGAGGTTGAAAAATAGAGTGGGTGGGAGAAAGTGTCACCACAAGAGCACATCGTCACAGGGATCAGATCACAGTAACATTTGGATTGTCATATTGCCTTGCCGTTATCGATGAATAAAAATTTTAATCGTGCATAAGCAAATCTGCCTCCCTGAGACCACCAATCACACACAGACCACATTCACACAGCTCTTGCTCGAGGAAACAACAGTAGTATGCACTTGTACACGCTGGGATCACACCTTTGGTTTGGTGAGCATACAATCAAACCACTAACCCACTGAATCAATCTTACATTAATTATGAAATTGTTAACAAACCTGATTTGTTTCTGGATCAAGTACAGTATTTTCTGGGCTATTAGTCGCGCTCTTAAGCCTCTAACCTCATCAAAAAATAACAGCACGCCCCGCAATCCAGAGCACCCTATACAGGAATCCACTCAGGTGTCCCAGCATGACTTCACTAAACTACAAAGCCGCAAACACACACAGAACACACAAACACACACAGAACAGACAGCGACCGCGCAACAAAAAACACCCACAGACACACTCATCACTCCACGCCGACGAGGAACAGAACGGAGGAACGAACCGAAAAAGCGAGTCCAATGTGCCACTTCTAGACACAACTGAACAACTGAGTCACTGTGAACACACCGACAATCTGTTGGTCCCAGACAGCACCTCCCTACACGCCACAACTGAACAAAGCCCAGAGTCACTGTGAACGCACCAAACAAACAAAACCACTCACCCATCACACTGTTGGGTTTCCTTTAAAGTCCAGTGCATTTTTTTTTTTTTTTTGTGAAAAAAGTTCGAAAATAAACCATTCTATGACAGTGTGTCTTATAATCCAGAGCGCCTAATAGCCCGGAAACAAATATAGCTGCTTACAAAAAAATAGAAAAGGGAAAAAAAAAACATCATAGGGGACTGAAAAACATTAAAGATTTCCACAGAATCAATGAAGCGAAACACTAAACTCTGTTCATTTGAGGAAAGAGAAATGTAATTTTGTTCAAAATGATGGTGAGCACTGACCTCCTTTATTTTCACGTGTCACTGAGTTTCCATTCACACCCTGCACAATCAGATGCAAGTAATCAGAAGGAAATCAGATGATTTGCTGTTAACATTTCACTTTAATAGTCTTAAAACTCAAAATATCTGATAATAATCTGATTTTGATTGCATGTAACCACAGCCACTGTTTCTTACTTAATCTTACTGCATGATCATGTTCAATTCTGGCTCCAGACGCAACAGAGGGAGCGGTGACCAGACTGATATTAATCTGTATAAAAATACAGAGAGATATCAGTCTGGACTTGCCAGGCAAAAGTAAGAGACAATTTACCGATAAATCAAGTAAATGACTAAAGGCATGCATCTCTAAACAACACACAGGGCCCACAGCCGTACAGATTTACGGCGTTCAAACCTCCTGGCTAATCTTTCTTCGGAACACAAAGAGCTGCTCTGCTTCAGCACAGCTCTCCTCGCTGTAGGTGACAGACTGACACTGTCCAGCGTCTTACTCACATCTTCCCCCGTGACATTTCACTCCGAGTCTGAGGAAAGGCTTTGTGAAATGTCCACACTAAACCTTTCGTCACTTTTACGACTTTTAATCAAGATGCGATATTGGTGGTCAAATAAAATCACAATTCCATGGCTGCACAACTTTCCAATTTTTCTCAGCGCTTCCAGATTGACCATCACTTTCACAGCTGCGGGGGCGGTTCTCCTGCGCTCCTTCAGATTTACAGGTTTAGGCCCGAGCCATGTCCACAGGGCTGATACATAAAACAAGTCCACTATATAAGATACTCTCATTTGGTATTCATATAAGCAAAAGCAGCAGGTGGAGTCTATATCACTAACTCTGGCCCCGGAGACAATCTTTTCCCCTGAGTATTTGAGCAAAGTACAGATATATTGTATAAGCAGCTCTTTGAGGTCAAAAGAAATCCACTGTGTACTGTTTGTATCTAATTATAAAGTGTTTTCTTGTCCGAGAATCAGGAAAAACTCCACACACAAAAAGTGCTTATGGACTCAACGTGATGAATAATTAGAATGTTCAGAATGTATAAGGTAAGTGAGGAATAACTTTGAACCACTGCAAACTGTTTAAAACTAATGCAAAATAAATAGTTCTGTTTCCATTTTTAGGATGGTAAAAATCACTTAAAATTGGGTCCACAGGAAAGACACGTGCCGCCTCATGAATTGTAAGCACCACCTCCTCACTGGGAAAGCACGACCCGATATGCCAGTAAGGAATTTTTGGATTTCAGCATTGAACATGGCAACATAAACAAGAGAATGTTCTTTCTGAGTGGATAAATATCTCGAGAACCAAAACAGAAAACTATAATGATTTGATTCATTTTTATTTCAAGTTTGTGAGAAAAACAATAATGATATACATACTACATATACATTATAAAGAGAAAAGCACATTTCTCAAACAAACTATCTAGGAGCGCCCCTGAGAGAACCCTGAGCTCGTGCAGCAGGGTGTGTGCAAAACACGACTGGACGTGAGCTGTGATTAGCCCTGTGGAGCCTGGAGCTCTGCGTCGGTCCTTTCCCCTGTGGTCACCTCTGAGCTCATCCCAACATTTGGAACTGCAATGACGGCGTTTCACCGCTGCTGAGATCGTGGTGATTTTAGCGAATTTGTATGAAGAAAAAAATCAAATGCACTGACATGCAGTTTACTGACATTTGTACCGAGTAAAATATTACCTTTTTTTTTTCCCTGTAATGAATTGCATTAGTAGCCAGGCTGGCTCCAGTGACTAGGTCAGGAATCAGAATACACTAGATGGTTCGCAAAACCCCGGAAGTGCGAATTCCGGCACCAGCCAATCAGCGAAGAGACATACATTCAGTGTTGTCAACAATTCCCGAGATCGAGGATTTAAAGCCGGAACAAAGAGAATGTTTGGTGAATTTTATCAAGTAGAAAAACGGTATTGTCCTTCTTCCTACGGGATTTGGGAAAAGTTGAATATATCATTTAGCCCTGTTAGCAGCGCATTACATACGTCATGACCAAATAGCAGCGATTGGTTAAATTATAAAAAGTACATTGAGCGAACAAAATCTAAGACTGAGAGGTCAGATGGTTTGTACGAAGTGAAACGAAGTAAAACTGGCTGATGAATCAGGCTATTACATTACTGCATTATCACAAAAAGCAACGCATTACAGTAAATCATTACTTTTATAACGCTTTACTCCCAATACTGATGATCATACCAAAATAAGCAAAATGAGAATGACTTTTTTTTCATTTATGGTCATACAAACTAATAATGTTAACAAAGGCAAAAAAGTGTATCATTTATGATTGTATCAAAATAAAAAATTCTAATAATGTTAAAGAAAAGCATGTGTGTAGTTAATCGTCGTGGTTTCCTTGTGAAGACGATGGATCTAGTCTTCTACGTCTTTGATTTTTTTACAACTTGTCCATCATGTCCAATGTTTTGGTCGTTAAAAATAAAATAATAAACTAATTAAAAGTCAGTTCAAGTTCAGTAAAAGCTGCGTTTGATTTGAACATGTTTGCTTCGTTTCTGGGACACAGTTAGGTCATGTTTATAGAAAGAATCGATCTAAATCAAAATCTTCCGTCCAGTTCCTTTAAAGATTTTTTGAGTATAACCGGTCTCCTCATTTAACTCGAATCATAGCAGCTTTAATTACACTTAATGATAAACTATACACTCTTTTCCTTCCTTCCTAATGAGTAATAAATGAAGTACTGAAACCCCCGAAACGCGATCCTGGATGGCACTCTGGATTAAGCGAACGGCAAAATGACTCCACCGACAAAACTCCGGTACCTTCGTATTTTTCCGCCGCGGTGATTACCTCGGCTCGCCTTTCCAAACACGATCCGTTGATGGGCAGAAGGAGTTACGAATGCGGGCGCGACGGGGAGAGGGCTCTGAGCGATTCGGCACACACGTATCCACACGCGCCGCGGATCCTGTTACCGCGGACGTGAGCTTGTTCCACTTGCGGTCCTCGGGTCTCCGTGCCAGTCGTCCTTCAGCGCCTCACCTCCTCCGCAGTGGAAAACACACTTCAAACGCAGACCACATGGCATCGGCGCGGTCAACAGAGCGGGCACGTCCAAGGGAAACCAGGAAGACAATATGGCCGCTCGTTTATCACAAGGCGAACGGGCTAATTGGGCATTACTAATCCTGCCGGGGTCATCCATCCTCTGGGTCTGCTGTTTCCACTCACAGATGCGGCAGGTGCTTTCAGAGGCTTTTTTTTTTTTTTTTTTTTTAAATGGAGGTCAACGGCACCAGACTGCTTTCTACAAATGTTACGCAGTTAAAAATGAGCAAACGGTATGTAATTTAAAAGCATTAGTTGTATCAAATGTGATCTTGGTGAAATTGCGGCCGGGTTTCGAGACCGCTGGGAATATCAGGTGCCGCAGTGTCAAAACGCAGAGCAGAATTAGGGACGCGCTGATCCAGCTCTGGGATCGGATGTCGGTGCAGATACTGAAAAATTTGCTTGGGACGATTATTGGCTTCCAAATATTGGTTCAGTCGATATCCTGGTTGGAAATTCAAATTGGTGTAATAAGACGATTTACTGGGCCCAGAAAGTCTCATAATGTTTGAACTTTTACTTATACAAAGTTGTTCTGTAGTTACTCAGGGAATATCAGATTTGTCAGTTTTGTCATAGTTTTGTGAGGAAATAAATGCTATTTTCAGTCTCTGCACTGGTATCGGTTGATATCGGGTATCAACATACTTAAAGCTGTAGTATTGGAATCAGTATCAGAGCTGAAAAAGCTGGATAAGGGCCCGGT